TCTGATCTGACTACTATGTAACCAAAAGAGCAGATCTCGTGTAATCCCACCTTATTCGTGGCACCACTTTTCTGCTCTTCCTTAGTTATCAACGCTTCAAAGTCTGCATATATCACGTAAGGCACCTGCATCTGCTTTTGATGGTCTGAGTACGATAGGTTCTCATCTGTGGGCATCTGGATCCGTTGCGCCACTTCTTCGACTCCGCGGCAAATCTCATCGTGTTCCTTTAGGGACTTTAAGGGGGTAAACGATAATAAGCAGCAATCGCAGAAGTATTTCTTACCTTTATGCTTGGTGTGTCTGTAAAACAGTCTGCTAATATGTTTAACCCATGAGTAGTGCCCGCCGTAGTAGAAAAGGTGTATTCGTTCTCCTTTCGCCTTCGCCTGCGAGGTAATGCGACGAAGCACGTGTTTCGGGTTAATTTATACTGCTCCGCGCTAATTCATTCAGTGAGAATAACATGTTGTTTTCACATGTGAAAATATCGTTACCATGTGTAATTAAGTTATTAGTTTATGAATAAAAACTTTTTATAGTGATAAATAGCTTATTAAGTTGATTTTATGCATAAATATATAATAAACAGAATATTACATGGGCGCGCGGAAATACGAAATTTATCTTCGAGTGTTGAAAAGATCTCTCACAAGTGAGTGCAGCAAACGAGTGAGAGATTTTCGACACGAGAAGATAAATTTCGTATCTCCAAGCTCTCATGTAATATCCTCTATTTAACAGCTAAAATTAATATTTTTAAAATTGAAAAAATAATTTTACTTAGAAGAGTTCGTCATACCTTTTAACGTTATGTATTTTCTAAATTCTTCAAGAAATTTAGAGATACTCGCCAAAATACTGCAGTACTTTGGAGTAATTTCGGGTTCAGTACAGATCCTATAACTGGCTACTTTTATTTGCCAAATTAGTTGAACATGTCTTCATCAAATGCTAAAGCAATACCTTAGAATTCGTATTAATAGTAGAAGTATAAATATTAAAGCGGAATTGCAAAGATTGGCCGGGGAAAATAGAAAGATCCCAAAAAGAAAGGAAAAGAGGAAGACAAGACTATCCCAGTGGCAAATTTGGTAGCCTATATGGAGAAATAGAAACTAGAGCTAAGGTGCGATTCTACGGGAAACAAGAAAAATCAACAGGAAATTTCTTCTTGACCATGGACGCGTCTATGAGAGCTTTAATGACATGACAAGTGAAAACATAGATGATGAAGCTTTGCCAAAGTACCAAAGAAGGAACATTGAAAATAACGAAACGAAGCATTACATGTTTGAAACTGTATTGATCAGGCGAGTAGTTTTTGGCGAGTTCTCTGGGAGGGAAAAGGAACAGGTAACTGCAATGTTGATTGGTTAGGAGAAGTCAAAAGGGCTATAAATGACCAAGTCCCACCCCCTGCGGATAATAAAGTTATTCTAACAGTTATACAAGTGGAATAAAGACCATGCAAAAGAAGAAAAACTGGAGTGTACCCGGACCAGACAGGTTGGTAAATTACTGGTGGAAAAGAGCGCATATGCTTCATACGTTAGTGACCAAAGCCTTCCAAGCGAAAATGGAAGGCCGACAAGAGTACCCTCTATGGTTCTCAGCGGGAAAAACTTCTCTTATCCCAATGATTATGGAATTGGAGCAAAGGGGCGCAAAAAAGGAATGTAGTGAATTAATCGACAGCTTGTTGATAGATAAAATGGTTACGCAGGACTGTCAGCGAAGAAAGTGTAATCTTATGGCGTCAGTGGATTGATGTAAAGAACGCGTATGATTCAATTGATCACGATTCGTTGAAGGAAATAATGGTAGTGCACCGCTTCCCTACGTGGCTGAACAAGGTAATTCGTTGTCTGAGTTCGTGTTGGAACACTAGAATAGCTATGAGAACAAAAAGAGGTTATGAACAATCAGACGTCATTAAATTCAACAAACGACTTCCGAAAGGCGATGCTTTGTGCCCAAGTCTTTTCACCCTATGCCTAAATCCAGTGGCACAGTTATAGAAATCCGCAGAAGGATGCAAATTATCGAAGCCCATAGGTGCTTGAGTAACGCAACTACTATATATAGACGACCTGAACTAGATGTTTGCGGCAACAAATAGCAAAATGAACACCGTACTGAAATCAACGGTGTCAGCAATGAAAGATCTGGGACTTCACGATGTAAATCCTAAGAAAGGCACGACGGTCAATGTTAAGAAAGAAGCGGAAGCCCACGATGCAGATGACGTATAGATAGATGTCTCGACGGTGTTGAAGAATCTGGAAGAGGATGAGCAGTACAAGTTTCTGGGACTTTTACTCAAATAGTTAAACAGGAAGACAACCTAGCCCTGAATAGTACAGCTAAGACATTACTACGAAACGGTGTCAGTGATCTGGTCTAGTCCACTTTCGGATTACAATCGTGTGATTGCCTCAAATCAATTTGCTCTACCGGCGATGACCTACCAGATATGGTCGTAGCACTGGACAATCACAGACCTCAGGAAGGTAGACAGAAAGGCTCGCAAGATAATCGCTAAGCAGCGCGGGAGGAAAACATCCAGCGAGCTCTACATGCGACTAATGAACCAACGATAATGTTGGTTCTTTAATAAGTCACATGGTATGTGACGTGACGTCATATCACGTGGTCAGATGACTCACATCACAAAGTTCACCCATCGCACCAAGTTTCGTTACCATAGGATTCATTGCAATTACTAATCGCAAAAATCGACGATAATGTTTGGTCGACGATACTATCAGTTCGTGGGATTCAACGCCAAATTTTGTGCAGAGGAATCTGCGAGGAACCAACTAATAGAGTTGAAAAAATGAATCCCCCATTCTAATTATCATAATAATAATAATAGTTTATTATTTGTATTGCGCATTTTAACATGTTAATATGATCAACTGCGCATTACATATAGGTACACTAAAATACTAGGCATAAAATCTCTAAAAAACTACAAAAGAGTATATAAAAGATTTAATAACTCCACGTCCAAATAATTCCACGTCCAAACCGGGCCCAACACGTTAAAACAAATGGGAAACTAATTTGTAAATATTAAGTAAAAGAAAATCTAATTAAAAGCTAGTCTAAAAAGGTGGGTCTTTAACAACGTCTTGAATCTATTAAAATGTCTCTCGTTACGTATCTCTTGTGGTAAATTGTTCCATAACTTCGGAGCAGCCGCCGAAAAAGCACGGTCTCCTAATGTCTCCTAATGTCTTTGCAGAAGCAAACCTTTAGAAAATCTAAGATTATAAGAATTGTTATCCTTAATACTAACCAGTTCACATATATATCTTGGGGCAAGCCAATAAATTGCTTTAAAAGTAAATAAGATAACTTTAAAATCTATCCTAAATTTAACCGGTAACCAATGCAAAAAGTTTAAAACTGGTGTAATATGAGAGTATCTAGGTATACTATATATAAGCCTAGCTGCTGAATTTTGGACTCTTTGTAATTTCGCAATGTTCGTTGCTGGAAATCCATGTAGAATACCATTACAGTAATCTAAAGGCCTATTTACACGGCACGATTTGCCGCGCGCGACTTGACGTATACGGCAAATTTTGGTACCATTTACACGAGCACAACTTGTCGCACGCGGCACGAAAAAAACGCGAGCAATTTACTCGTCATTACAGCAAATGTTTCTTTTTGTAAAATGCCACCATACACAGTTGAGAAGTGCAGTAAATGATCATGTCTACCTTGTCATTTGATGAGAACATTTAGAATTTTTGCACTTCGTGTTTAATAACCGTTAAAGACGTTTTCATGGAAATCCGCCATTTTGTTTTGGAATCAACTAGTTCCAGTCCCAATCTCGGTCAAAATCGTCATATTTACGTCATTTTCCTACGGCATGTCGTAGGGTTTTAAGCCAGAGTTTAAAATGCTACAAAAAGTCTTGAGGCTGCGTACGTCTGTCGTAGGACCATTTACACGACCCGATTTTGAGCTAATTTTGCCGTATACGTCAAGTCGCGCGCGGCAAATCGTGCCGTGTAAATAGGCCTTAAGCGCCCTATAATTAATGCATGAAAAAGTGTTTGTGTCACTTCATTACTCAAATATTTCCTTATGCGCCTAACATTTGTAAGATGAAAGTAAGCTGCTTTGCAAGTTTTATTTATATGCTCCTGAAGACTTGCGATCAAACCAAGTTCCAAGATTCTTTACTGAGCTCACAGATTGCACACGAGCCTTTCCAAGCTTGAGGTAATCTACGTGAACCTTAGCCAGCTGCTGGCGTGTACCAATTATGGTAAACTCGGTCTTGCTATCATTGATCTTGAGTTTATCACTTAGCATCCACGTTCTGATCTCCCGCACACAGAGCTCCATAGTAGCGACGGCTTCATCAGTACTCAAGGCACTGTCAGGCTTGAACGCAAGATATAATTGCGTGTCGTCTGCATAGGCGTGCAAACTAGGCAGATGTCTCTTGACCACCTCGAACAATTTACTGGCATATAAAGTAAACAGCATAAGACCTAGACAGGACCCTTGTGGAACGCCTTGCTCTAGTTGGATTGCATCAGAACAATTTCCATCGAGAGAGATGCGCTGGAACCGATCCGTTAAATAGGAAGCAAACCATTTCAAAGCTGTTCCCTTTATCCCAAAGCTCGTACTAAGGCGTGATAGGAGAACGGAATGATTCACCGTGTCAAACGTCGCGCTCAGATCAAGTAACACCAATAGTACCACATGCTGACGATTCATTGCCATTAAAATATCATTGTGTATCTTAAGAAGAGCTGACTCGGTGCTATGGCCTTTCCTATAAGCTGACTGTAACATAGGATAGAGGTCATATTTGATCAAATGACAGTGTACTTGGTCACAAACTGCGCGTTCTGTTAGCTTAGATGTATACTGCCAATTGCTAACCGGACGAAGATTATTAAAGTCATTGATACCATCTTGCTTGAAGCGCGGGACGACAAGTGCTTCTTTCCAGTGGTTAGGAAAATGTCCAAAGAGCAGGGATGGATTAACCATCTTCTTAATGACTGGTAAAAGTTGATCCAAGCATTCAACAACAAGTGAAGTAGGCATTGGATCGAGGCCACAGAACTTCTTCGATGACTTCTGGATCAGTGACAAGATATCATTGTCACTCAAAGGCCGAAAGGCAGAAGCTCCCAATATCATTCACCAGTTTAGACTTGTCTTCATAATCCGGAAATGACAATGTATCAGTATTTCCCAACAGCCTTTTGGACGTACGAAATAACTTCCCTTGATCACTGCTGTTTTCTTCCACAAAGTCTATAAAGAATTTCCGTTTCGCTTCATTCAGAAGATACATCACGTGATTTCGTCTTCTTTTGAACAACTGAAAGTCAGTATCCCTCTTAGTCTTCCTCCATTGCCTTTCCGCCTTTCTGCGCATGCGTTTAGCCTTGTGAATCTCCTCATTGTACCACGGTACAGTAGGTCTAGCAATGATAGTCTTTGTACTCAGCGGAGCGTGCACATCAATGATATGTGACAAGGTCGAGTTATAGTCACCCACCAGCGTATCTAATTCACTAGGACTGAAGGGAGTATCCGTCTTAGATCCAGTACCAATGTCCTTGCAAAGAGGTGTTTCAGCTAGGACATGCGCAAGCGCAAAAATTTGGTAATCGGAGGGTTAGGTCTCACAAATTTATCATTTGGTCAAGGTTTTTCGGGAGTTGAAAACATGTTGTATTTGCAAGATTGCGACTGGCCTTTTCTCCCTTGTAAGAATATTTATACATATCAACGATATATGGAAAGTATACAAGAAAACAAAGACGCGCTCGAAAAAAAAATGTTCAGATGCATTGTTTATTCATTTTTATGTTTCAATGCTTCGTTACAAACTAAGTGTAAACTTTTGATAGTAAAATGTGTGCTGCATTACACAAGCTCGTTTACTGGACCAAATGCTACAAAATACAATTAAACAACGTGTTGGAGTTAAAATGGCTAACAGTAAAACCCCAAAGCCGCTTTCATTCATAATAACATGACGAGAGATTCATATTTAGTAATCGATTAGATAATCGCAAAACAAAGGTGTGGGCAACCAAAATGCCAAAAGCATCATAATGATTACGATGCTGCCCCACCAGACGGAAATGCAGTACGACGTTTTTAGTAGATATGAAACACCGGTTCTACGCCAGGTGGATCGTGGATCCACCCTTGTAATGACAGTGCTCCGGAAAGTGAGGTGCTGTAGGGGGAGGGGTGGTCAACTATATCTATTTTTTAGTTGCTGGATTGCACCATACCAACGCAATCGGGACGGTTTTACGACAAAGATTAATCCAAATAAAATGTTCTAATTATTTATGAAATATAGTTTTCTGTCACAAAGCCTATTGTTAAAGGATTAGACTCTTTTTAATTTATGCTTTTGTTTCACCCTAATTGAGTTCTACGAAGTTGACTCATCAAAAAACAAACAATTACATGACTTGCCCAAGGAACAACTTTTATTCATAAAACGCTCAATGCATGTGAAATCAAAAAAGTTTAGTTACAGCTCTTTTCATTATTAAACATCATAGTTATCTTCTGGTTGCCTGGCAATCAGATCTGCCAATAGTATTTTGTTGCGAATAAGATTCTTGTCCAAATCAAGCTCTGCCAATCCACTGGTAAAAGTCTTAAGCCCTCTTGGGGCGTTAACTTCTGGGTTGTAAGGTAACAAAGCATACTCGATTAAATCTTTCATGTTGGCTAGTGGTGAGTCATTTCTCCATGGGAATTTCAATACAAAATATCTTTGGCTGCTATCATGCTATGTAGTAAATCATGTGCCTTTTGTCGCGGTATGCTTTTAGGGAGCTGTCGTGCCATTCAATTGATTTTATTCTCATCCGATTTCGAAAATTGCTCCTACTCGCTAGAGGAATCTTCGCTCAGCTCGAGTTCTGTAGATTCTTCTTTTGAAACTCTTCTTCTCTTCATGATGACCTCTACTAGTAAAATGAAGTTCTTGGGATTTGGCTGGGTTTTTTATAGCAGTAAAAGACTCAGAGCGCTCATTAGAGGAGGCAAGACCTCCCCCACCAAGCCCTCGCCTTTTTGAATCAGAATTTTTTTCTTGGCCTTAAATGGTATTGATCCATGAGCTAACTCTCTTATATCATCCTTGTGCGGTCTCAATCTTTCCTTTTGCCCTTCTGATATGGGAATTGTTCCTTGTAATAAATTATGGCAGACCTCACACATTACATGAACTTGTTCGGGAGTGGCTTTGTGACAGAAAAACTATATTTTATGAATAATTAGAACATTTTATTTGGATTAATCTTTGACGTAAAACCGTCCCGATTGCGTTGGTATGGTGCAATCCAGCAAACTAAAAAATAGATATAGTTGACCAACCCTCCCCCCTACAGCACCTCGCCTGGCGTTCGAAAATTAATTAAGCATATTGAATCACAGGTAGCCCAAGCTTGGTTTCTGTGGTGTCCTGTTATAAGGAAATGTATGGAGATTCATCAAAAATTTCAATAAAATCATTGAAACGTGAAATAAGACTACAAAGCCCAATGGCCCTGATAAGCTGGTCACAGGGAGGCCACCCAGGGTCCGGCCAGGGTGACCGGGAAGGTTTCTGCGGAGCGCGTAACTCGAAAAGTGTGTAACTCGAAGTGCGGTAACTCGAAAATCGTAACTCGAAGAATACCTTATCTTCTAACTTCCGGACAAAGAACATTAGATTCTTATCTTTGCAAGATTGCATGTCAGTTAATGACGTGCACCAGAACTTGATTTAAAGTAAAGAACAAAATACAGCAGGGCCCGTTTGTACGAAGCCTGAATAGCGCTATCCAATGGAAAAATCCGTCCAGTGGATAGATTTATTGGATAACAGCATCGCCTTATTCATTGGATTACGATTTATCCACCGGACGAGCGCTATCCAAGCTTCGTACAACCGGGCCCAGTTCTGCATCTCATGACCCCACAGGTATACAGACTAAGGTGGCTGCCTACTTTTGAACGTTCGATTTGAGCCCACGATGTGTGCGCACTCGCAAAAACCGCTGAACAATCTACAAGATTTTATTGAAGAACCATACACGTTCCGAGCCGTTCAACGCAAAACCCTCAAATTTTGCACGGGACTCTCTATTTCTTAATAGCTTATTCGAAAAAACTCCTAAAAAAAGTTAATTTTTCTAATACATGAAAAAATTGATTTTTGTAGGGATTTTTGTTCGACTTGATGAGATTTTTTAAGAGTACCGAAATAAAACGACAAAATATGACGAATCGATGTATTTCTTTGTCTTTTTGTCGAAAATATTCACGTAATATTGTAAAATGATTCACTAGCCGTGATTCGTGCAATCATCTGCAAATAACTATTATCTTATGAATCTTAATTTTTTTCTGATCACTTCAAAAGCTTGCGAGTATGCATCAATTAAAAACCGATTATCTCGACAAGCTCGGGACACCCCATTCTTTTCATATTTGGAATCAGCATTAAATTTCACTTTAAAAGAATATAGTTCTAAAAAAAGTTTAAAATTTTTTCAAAAAGTAGGCAGTTACAATGGGATAAAATTCTAATATTGCAATTTTCGAGTGAGCCTAATGCACGAGTGCCCCAAAACCTATTGCACTGGAAGCGTCGGTAAAACTGATTTTTTACGAAAGGATTTTTTGATAGCTGGGAAAGGCATGTCAATTTTTTTTTTTTTTTTGTGGACACCAATTCAAAATGGATTTTCGAAAACTACGTTTATTTAGCTTTCAGAAAATGTATGCCTTTACGGCAAAATGTAGTCGTAAAATCCCTGAAAAATCTGACGTAAAAAAACGCGTATAGGGTCTATAAGGGGACCAGATCCCCTCCTGATACCTTAAGCTACCATACCAAATATGTGCTTTAATTTAAAGATTCATATAGGATCGAACATTTGTACAAGCCGGGATATATTATACATTTTACAGGTTTCAACCACTTGATTGCTATATATGATAGACTTAACATCTTTTACTATGCAGTCAAAGTTCATGTCCTGTGAGCATCTCAATTGCATGCATATATATAAGATACCCTTGTAGGGTTTTGGTGACTAACTTTATTGAAATTAGTTAATATGATTTATCAAATGCTTTTATAGTTGCTGGATATAGAGCACTGTTCTGGACTGTACGCCAATGTCTTCTAATGTTTGTGATTGATCTCTAAAAGTTCTTCTTGGCAAATCATTAGTACATATTTGACAGTTTTCAGGGAGTTTTTCTCCCATGACTGACTCTGCAAAAGCAAAAATATCTGCAACAGGATCAGACATTCTGAACCAACGTTCATGTCTTGTTCCATCAAGAACTTTGATAGCCAAGTGGACTGTGTTTGGTTCTTTTTCTGATGGTTCATTTGGTAAAATTGACAACTCATTTCCTTTGTTGGATGGCTTTTCAAATGTTTGATTGTCATGTTGTGTAACTGCCTTATAACTATGGTCACTCAAACTTGACCCAGAAGATGGCTTTGATCCAATGCAAGGTAGGGGTTTGTACTTGGAAAAAGAGACAGGAGAATGTGAAGGGGGTGTGACATCAACTGGTTGCCCCCCAGATAGAGGACGGGAACCTGATCTGGGTCTTCCTTTTACCGACTTTGGTCTTGGTTGGGAGGGAGGTCTTGGTGGAGAATGAAGAAAATTTTTATCAATTCTTACATGTTCTGTATCAGTATCTGGATCTACCGTTGTTGCATTTTGCCTTTGTAGCATAACAGCTCTACGTGCTGAAAGACTACGTCCTTCATTGTTCAGTGACCTTGAAAAAGATATCGGTTTCATTGCTTGAACATCATTGCATGTTGAATTACTTGGTGGAGAAACAGTACCAGTAACTGGAGTTCCAGAGGACGATCTACGGCCACTTTGAGATTGATTTTTCTCTCTTGGCACAACTAAAGATTTAGATATAAAAAATACATTTCAGTCATTGCTATTACTAAAATTTTAAAACAGAAACTAAAGCCCATAGCCCCCCCAAAGAAAAAGTCTCTCAGAATTTTGAAATATCCCTGAGTACATTACGTAATATTTTCAGCAGGTAATAAACAGTTATTGGATGATATTGTCTTTGATATCATGAATTATTAAGACTAAGGATGTGTTATCTTCCGAGCCTGTAGTTATACTATAATAATATTGTATGTAATGTCCATGCATATATGATGAACATAATCCAATCTTTCCAGGGTTTCCTTGCACGGAATTCAACTTATTAATAAGTACTACTTAATACATATTTTGGTCATGTTGTTGGTATAGTGCCTAATCTCATGAGGTATATGTATACAGAAATCTTCCATCTATTTTCTATTACCATTATACTCTTTTCTATTTCCATAACCTAATACCAACTTTCTACATATCCTTTATAACTCATGGTTACGCAAAGCGTAGAAACAAGTTATTGTGAGGGGCCTGAATATGCAAATGTGTCACTCACTCACTCACTAAGATGTTAGAGCTCAAAAGTGACCAAAATCACACTCAACAATCATTGTCACAGTCAATGCAACAAAATGTATCAAATCCAACAGTTTACTTGTGATGTCAAGGAATTAATTAAACTCAATTTCAACAAATAAGACTAAACATTATATATGATGTGATATGATATGATATGATGTGTTGTGATGTGATGTGATGTGATGTGACATGTGGCATGTGACATGTGGCATGTGGCATGTGGCATGTCTGTCATGGAGGAGGAAGATATGTGGAAGAAAGGTGTACTTGGAACACATTCTCCAGATGCTGTAATCAACGCATCAATGTTTCTCTCAGGAAAATAATCTATCTTGAGAGGTGGACGAGAACAACGTGATTTATCTCATGATCAGTTTATCTTTGAAGAACAGCAGGACGGCTTGATGATGGTAATCTTTAAAGAAAAAGTGTCAAAGACCAACCAAGGTGGCCTTAAAAGAAGAAAGGTAGCAAGAAAGGAAGTGAAACATCTAGAGGATCCATCGAAGGAAAGATCATTCACATTTATCTACAATTTCTATGTGAGTAAATGGTGAGTATTTATCGATTTATGATTAAATGGTAATAGGAATATATATCGTATATAATATATATTATATTATTTTGCAGCCCAGAGAATATTCCAGTGCCAGCCTTTTATCTATGTCCAAAAGCTAAGTGGAGCTACGGCAGCGAGGTATGGTTTGAAAAAAGTCCCATGGGCCACAATATAAGGAAATTTTTCAAATCATTCTGGGCAAGCGACTGGCATTACAAGAATGTACAAAGCTGGCCTAACAGAAAAGCTAATAATGTAAAGAAGTGGCCACCGGTCCGTCAAAGATGTAAGAACATATCAGCGAGAAGATCCAAATGATATTAATATCGTATCCAATTCACTTATTACAGCAGCTACAGATGAATGCAGCTCCCAAGAAAATAATGTGCAGACTTGTAAAGAGGTGGAAGAAATCGGAGCGACAGCAATTAATTTGGGTGGCATTAATATGCAAGGAGCGAATTTAGCCAATTTTAGCATAAACATTAATATTAACAAGTAACGTTCAATTGGAAAAATTAAACATTTATTATTACAATCAGTTCTAAATAAGACGTGTGAAAAATCAATAAAGTGGTTGAATAAACGTTAACTTCTTGCTTTTTGTTTCAAAATGGCTTTGCGAATGTGTGAAGGCTGCCCTTGCACTGAGAAAATTAACATTTGTGTAAAACATTAGATTGTAACAAGTTGGTAATTTTAGCCCATTATAACACATGCGCAAAGTTTGTCCTAGCGTGTAGAATCCCACTCTAAGACCAATTTCTCTATCCCACATTGAATAAAGCCTGTGGCAGGGTGGTATACATCCTCACACTCGGTGTCCCGATGATTATGTTACATGAGGGACAACCTCTCATGAATAACATGAGGGATATTTAGTTTCTAAATATCCCTCATTCATATGGATCAGGGACGATTAGTAAGTAATCGTTCCTCATTCATATGGATGAGGGATTTTTAGTTTCTAAATTTCCTTCATGTCATTCATGAGGGAGGGATGTTAGTGATTAAACGTCCCTCCAAAAACAATGGATCCCGAGGTGATCATGGTATTATATGATATGTGATATGTGATATGTGATATGTGATATGAAATGATATACCGCCTGCCGTACAAAACGTTATCTGGAAAAGTTGATTACATTATGCTGATTAATTTGTCATTCAGGCAAGCCACTACAGGACAGGGGGCAGTCATGGCACGACAGGTTTAGTGACATAGAGGGTAAGGAATGTTGTAGGAAACAGTAGCAAATCTGATCTGAGATCTGATTATTAGTTTTTTAGTGCTAAAAATATTTTGCATGGAATGAAATATATATTTCAAAACTTAATTCAGTGGTGAGTGCTTTTCTTCAAACAAATTTTCATCCTTTCTTTGTGACTTCAAACATTTTAAGTTGCTATCTTTCTGCATTTTTAAACCGTGTTCAGTAGGATTAGTCACAATCACATTCTTCATGTTTCGTACAACATTCCTAACTGTTACATCACTAAACCTGTGGTGCAATGCCACTGAAACTTCTGGTTTGTTTTAAAAAAGACACTCTACTCTTTGGTAGTACCACAAAAAAGGTGAACTTCCATGGAACAGACGACTTGCACTAACAGGTCACAAAACCCCATCCCCCTTAAAATGAGAAAATTACTCAAAATGAACTCCAGAGATGAAAAGAGTACCTCAACGTTAGTAAGAGGGGAAAGTTTCAGCTCGAAATGTTGACTTTACAAGAAATGACATTAAATATAAAATCAAATATTTTTACAAGGATTTGTATGGGAAAATTGCTTGCTGGTAAGCTTCTGCCATCCAGCTCATTTTCCCATACAAATCCTTATAAAACATTCAATTTCATATCATTATCTAATGCCATTTCTCCTGTTTCGCTTACTATGAGCTGAAATTTCACCTTCCTACAAATGCCGAAATGCTATTTTCATTTCTGTTTTTTAATTTGACGAAACTGCTCGTTTTAAGGGAGGTAGAGTCAGCATGACCTAGTTGTTAGTGCAAGTCGTCTATTTGATATATATCTTTATTTGATAAAGCGGGTTTTTCAAAATTAAAAATATTTTTGAAAGTAAAATTTTTTGCCCATGAACGTTTTTATTTTTCTTAATCAAGCCATTTGGCTAGCAAGGGCACAATCATGCAGCTAGCCGCTTCGCCACTTCAAAATAGAATAAATTGCAAAGTATTGAGGATACAAATTCAAATTCTTCCTCATGTTTAACTCTAAATTAAGCGATAAATTGATTGTTTTCGCTATCGAAGAAAATTATCTACTGGGTAATTATCAAAATGAGCTTCGGCACAACATTAAACAAATGAACAGTAAGAACTTGGGGCTGATCGGCATCACGTAATATCAAGATTAAGTTTAAATAAGCTAATTTGATTTGGGAGCGAAAAATACTTTGCAACGATCTTACCTTCACTGAAACGCCTCTGGTTGGAAGGCAGAGGATGTGTAGCCTTTAGAGGTCCCCTGCTTGCGTCTTTGGAGTGAGAGCTACGATTTCTGATGCGAAGAGCGATTTCTTGTGGAGAATCCATCTCTCGCCATCTTTCACTTGGAGCTTGTTTTGACAACCGACCTGCTGCTGTTATACTAGGTTCCAGGATCTCTCGACCACACAACTTTCCACAGGCAGCCCAATCTCTATTCTAGAATGGGGTTTTGCATCGATCGTATTTTATATAGAAATGAAATAATTTAAAAAAAAATCCTTTTTCTTTTCTTTTAGAGTTTGTGGCTTGTGCTAAACGTCAGACGATTTCGAGGATTTTTCTTAATTTTTGAATTCTTAAAATTAAGAAAACCGGCTAAAATTGGGCATAGGGCATAAAAACCACTGGTTTAGCTTTTCAGTTGTCAAACCAATGACCCACTGGCCAGTAGAACACATGCAATGTAATACAGTGCTACAAAAAATAGCTCAAAAAGATATGATAAAAACTCAATATTTTCTGGTAAAAAAGTATTTCCATCACAAGGAGTACCCAGCCATTTTAAATAGGCGATTGTGTACGTGAAAAACATTAGAGATCAAATATGCAATAATTCCAATAATTTGATATTTTTGCAATACACATTTACTGGCGAAGAACACAATATAAAGCCACATAAGCACGGAAACGCTAAGAAAAGCCTCATTACTACTGCAAAGTTAAGCCGTCAAAGATTGAGAAGGCACGTAACCAACACAGTAAAAGTAGGTAGTCGTTGTGTGGCAACCAACGTAGAAGGTCTAGGCGGGGTCGAATACATACTGAAAGCCCTGCTGATGTGATTAATAAAATAATAATAATAATAAACTTTATTACTGTGTCATGTCGTTCTAGCTTATAACAAAATAAACTAATTGGGGACACCTATCTAGAACCCTATAAAACCAATAAAA